TTAAAGACAGAAGAGTGAGCACTGATATGTACCAGCTGGACAACCCTGATGCACACCAGCTGGACAGCATGGCTTGTTTCTGCTTTATGAAGCATTTGGAGGACAAATGGCCTGGAAATAATTTTTATTCCTTGAGTGATGTAAAAGCTATGCTGGTTTTTTAATGCTTCTGTAGTATGACGTAGCCTGATGTGCTCATTGGATTTTATTTCAATAACTAGTGCTTATCTTATTTAGCAAGCAAAATTTTAGCTTTGTTCTGCTGCATTTTACTGCCAAATTTACTCTGTATTAAGCAGCTGAGCTTGATGCTTTTCTGGACTGTCTGTTTGGGAAAATGAGGCATCATTCTCCTTCCCAGTTATCTCCAAGTGTTTCTTTTTATTTTTGGTGGTTTGGGGTTTTTTTTAGTTTTGTTTTTTTTTTTTTTTTTAATGAAGCCCTTTTCTTTCCTCTGAATCACAGAAGGCCATATTCTTCTCCTTCCTCATCTGTTCTCCAACTTACTTTTTTTTTTTTTTTTTCCCTTTGCAAGAACTGTTCTGCAATAAGGATTCTGCAATTAGGAAAGGCATGCAAAATACAGAGCTAGATGTAATCCACTTACGTAGAAATAAAGTGATAACTGACCAAGCACATTAAGTTCTGATACTGAAATACCTCACTGTCTGGCAAGTTTTTGTATGAGCATTGGTAGTGTGGGAGGAGCACTCGGGCATGGGGTCTACTGCAACAATGTCCAAAACAGCTCCTCTAAGAATGGGACTCTGACAGAGTCAGAGTAGCTGCAGCTACAACAGCTCTTCAGTTCTGTCACATGACATAAAGCACTTGCTACTGCATTTCCAGTATGCAATAAATTTGGGTCATCACAAAGGGAAATGGAAGTATAGAATGGTTTGGGTTGAAAGGGACCTTAGAGATCATCTCATTCCAGCCACCCTGCCATGGGCAGGGACACCTTCCACTAGGCCAGGTTGCTCAAAGCCCCATCCAACTTGGCCATCACTTCCATCCCTGTTTAAGGTTGGCACTAGGTACAACACCATGCCCTGCCTCTGCTTTCTGTTAACTGCTCTCATTTCCCAAAGCTGAGAAGATAAAATACAAAACAAGCACAATAATAAGCATCATAAAAACCAAAGGAGAATCCCAAATGTCAGAGCATGCTAAGATTGCTGTAATAGTTTGACTTAAAACTATGATGGGGTAAACCTTTGCCAGTTTACCAAAATAAATACTTTAGATGACCTCAGCTTAAGCTGAGGCGTTCATGAAAGCAGCAATGCAAATCTGACTGTCCTGCATTGGAAGAACAGCAAGTTTCTAACACCAGTAGTTCTGTTAATGAAAAATTCTGTCTTTCACATTACTGCAACTGAGTGATGTCATGCAGTAAGCTTCCTGACTCTTTCAAAAAAACTATACAGAGATGTAGTGTGTGCTTGAATATGCTGTAGGAAAACAGCTGCATGCTAAGTTACCCCTTATGCCTGTACACAGACCTGTATTGTTCCTGCTCTTAGTCCATTTCTCCCCATATCCTGTATGGATGAGTCTAATACTTGATGCAAATGTCATTCAGCCTTCAGGGTGGTTGTTTTCTTGAAGTACATTTAGGAGACACATGAAGCTAAGCAAACAAGAGAATGGATTTGTGCAGAGAAAAAACAGATATTGCTGTGATGAAAAAAGTGCAGCATCACCACACAGTAGGCATTTTTAATCCTCCCTTGTTTCTTGCAAATTCTCCTGATCTTGATTTTATACTACAAAACCTTAGTATGATTTACTAGAACAAGCCAAGCTTCCTCAGGTTGTTTGCCAACAAAAGCCACTAACCTACATTAACAAAAAAAGTATTTGCTGTCATGAGTCGCTCTGGTTTAACTTCTGTTGTTGCTTTGCCTCTTCTCTCAGATGGAAGTAGGGGGCATACAGAACACTGTGACTGGGATGCTGGACAAACAGAAGGAGCTTGATACCAAAGTTAAGGCTGTAAAAGCCAGTGTTTTAGTAAGTATAATATAACTTTTCGTAGTAGTGTTTGTTGATTCATAGATGTCTAAAAGCTTTCAGTACATAAGATGTGATAAAATAGCAAATAAAAATAAGATAGTGGTTTGATTTTCAAGTCTAACCAGTGATTGAAGACAAAAATTATTTGTCAGTAGCACCATAATACAGATTAGTATTTAACTCATTTAGCAAGGTCAAATTTCTTGTGCCTAAATTTTTGCAACAAAAATTTTACCCATCTGAAATACTAGCAACCAAGGAAAACCTCCTAAATCATATACTGACCAATTTGTTATTACCTAGAAGATGTATTTTTTTAGCATATTGACTTAGCATATTTTTTTAGCTTGTTGACTTAACAAATACAGTCACAACAGAAAGTTTTATCCAGACGTTACTTAAGAATTACAAAGTTTAAAATGCTGTGTGCTGTTCCAAGTTTTTCCAATGTAGCCTAGATTCTCCTAAACTCTGTGAACTTATATGGCTAGACAAAGACATATCTATATTTTTTAATTAACAGATTTCAGTTAGCTGAGACTAAAGAGGGAGAGTGAATAGAAGGTGATGAAGTTTAGGGATATTTCCTGTTAGGGACTTCCAGGAAAAAACATTGCTGCAAAACTGGACTTCATGTCTATAAGGGGCTGGTACCAGGCAGTGCCTGGCATTACTTGAAAATATTGAATAATTTTGGCCACATTCATTTGTGCATTACAGGATGTGGAGCAGGACATCAAGACATTAGAGGATATGCAAGACGAATATGACTTTAAATATAAAACCTGGCAGAACAGAGGTGAGTAATTTTTATATTGCATATAGTTTGTCAGAGTAAACTCTGCTGTCTTATGTCAGGGCATTAACCTAATTATACACAGCCAAACTTACTGGTAATTTTCCTCCTTTGTTAATTCTGCTTTATGCTGAAACATAAATTTCTGAAAATCCATTTTCTACATCTGTCTTTTTGTTACAGGCAGAGAGCCTCCCTGTTAACACAGTATTCCTTTGTCCTTTACATCCCTTTGCCAATAAAAGCAGCAAACCCTATAGAGTCTGTGACCATTCAACCACACATGTAATTAGTGTAGTTTAGGCTTCTCTTTGCCATCTTGTATTTCACAAATGACTTCCTGCTTCAGGTTTTGTAGCCTTTTGTGTACCAAGGGAAACACATGCAGCTGTAAGTCCACACTGGTTTCTTTATACAGATCTGTCTCTGTTGTTAAGTTCCTTGCTCTAGGAGAGGCTTCAGTTTCCAACAGCAACTGGCAGGTGACTATCCCTCAGAAGGGGGACACGTTCAGAAAATCCTGAGGGAAGCACCAAGCCTCAATCTTGCTCTTTGTACCTGGGACATGTAGTGCTTCCATGGGGCAAATGGGAGCCTCTAACTCAAGGTCAGCAGGCAGCAGAGTAGTAACTAGGGCAGTTACACATGATCTGCCAGCCTGGGCTGTAAACAAACTCAAGAGGCTGTAAACTTCCTCCCTTGAAATAACAGCTAACTTCTGTTGCCAGGTTAAGAGGTACAGGCCTGAAGTCAGCATGAGAACAAATTGCTCTGTTTGTATCTTTACACAGTATAACCATTACTTTAAATCAGGTTCTTGCTCTGAAAAGCAAGCAAATTTGCATCTTCATTACTTCACTGAGGTAGTGGCTTTTCCTTGCATTAATGCTTTAAGTGCAGACTCTGCCCTTTCAGCAGGGGGAAAGCAGGAATCAAAAAATTTAGGAGGCAGTAAAGATTTCCACCCTTAAGCTTTAAAGATACACTTCACCTGACATTAGCCAGGCAAGTCCTCTTCTCTCCACAGCATTTCTCCCACCTGTGCTTCAGCACTCCTTCAGCCTCATGTTCACAATTTGGACTTATTTTACAGAACATGAGTCCAACGGAGTGTCTCAGGAGGAATATAAGAAAGAACAGCTGAATCTCCAGAAGATGTTTTTATTACTTGACCGCAAAAGAAAGGTAGTGCTCAAGGTTTCTTTCAGAAGTCAACAAGTCTTCATTTTAAGCAAATGTTCATTTTCATTGAACTAACATAAACTAGCAGTAGAAAAGGGGTTTTTTTATGTATCAGTTGAACTGAGATTTCATTCTTTCCATCCTGTTTGAAAATTCAGAATCTCTGTAAGCAATTTTATTTCTCTTCTAGCAACCTTTATCAAACTCTCTTGGGTAAAGCTAAAAGAACAATGAGAAGGAAAAGGCATCATACCAATAATTATGTTCTTGAGGAAAAAATTATTAAAAATCTGCAGCTATATTAGAGTTAAATATACTCTGATTGCAGTGCTCAAGTCTACAGCAAGCACTGGATGAGCCCAAATATACACTTGGGACATATATGGATGCAAGACACTGGCTCTTCAGACTTCAGCAATACTGAATATGGTTTGTTTCTCCACTTAATCTAGCAAATACTCCAGCTGAAAAAAAAGTGCTTTTAGAAAACAACCTCTGTTGACAGAATCTATTATTGAGGGGTTTGAGGAGTTTTGCAAGACAGATGAGCACTACAAAACAGTACTTAGTTTTTGTGTATGAAGTATTTTTAATAAACAGGGTAATTTCATTCTCTCTGCAGGAAGTGGTGAACAAGATAGTACAGCTGCTGCACAACACAGAGCACACACAGACTGCTCTTATTGAGGAGGAGCTGGTGGAGTGGAAGCACAGGCAACAGACAGCATGTATTGGTGGCCCACCCAACGCCTGTCTTGACCAGCTACAGAACTGGTAAGTCTCTAGTCAAGGACAGAATTGAAAGCATGTTATGAAGGAACACCAGATCTATGAATTATACTGATTATTTCTATTATGCATTTTCATTCTGTCACAGCATAACTATATTTCATGTATTTTATTACCTCACCACATTTCCCATGAGCATGAAGTGTTCTCTGTGCACTGCCTGGTCCTTAGGGACAGTCACCTGGCTGATGTCTCTGCATTATTACATTATTACAGTGCAAAAACATGCTAAAAGTAATAAGATTGTGTAACTGTAGGTTTACCACTGTTGCTGAAAGTCTACAACAAGTTCGTCAGCAGCTCAAAAAGCTCGAGGAACTGGAACAGAAGTTTACCTATGACTCTGATCCCATCACAAAAAATGAAAAAGTTCTGCAGGAGCGAACGGACAGTCTCTTCAAACAGCTCATCCAAAGGTAATGGACCAGAAAAATCTTTCTGTGTTTGCAGGAATAAATAGATGGAGTGCATCTTGCCTACTGTTCCCTAACTCTGCATCTCATGAGGTTTTCCCTAAGTTTGTCAAAAACATTAAATTACTGATTTTGAGATTTATGCTCTCTAGGGTTTCCAGAGGTCCAGGCCCATGGAAAGGGTTTGTGATCAGTCATTACTGAAGTTAGCAGGAGCCTTGCTACAGGATGCATTGATTTACAGAATTAAACTCCTAGTCTGTTAGTCCACTTTTTGCTTCAAGCTTCAACCCTACAAAGTTCAAGTAAAGGGAGGCAAGAAACAATCCACACCAAGCTATGCCCAAAATAAATACACACTAGATTCTCCAACCCTTTGTCTCTGAACACATCCTCTTTGCCTTCAGTACAGGGAGGCCAGCCCTGTCTCTATATCATCTCTATGATGCAAGTTACTGTAGCTGGTAATTGCCCTGCATAAGATCAGAGTACCAGTCTGTAAATATATAGTAGACAAAAATTAATGGTACAGAAGACCTGAATCTATCAGATAAGAGCAGGGGCTAAGATACAGTAGTCAACACCCTCTTATGGTGGCTAGAACCCAGGTTTCCTGAGTCCCATTCAGATGCTTTGATGACTGATCTTCAGCTGAAAAACACAGGTACTGCTTTTCAGTGAAGTGAAGGCAACAAGGAAGAACTGTACAAATCCAGCTGCTGTTTGTTTCTTGCCTGTGAGTACAATGGAAGGAAAAGTCTCCATGCTACCAAGATTTATGTCTATACAGCACAGTGCTATAGAGAGAGTGCCCAAGCCAGCAAGTTTGGGGTTTGTAGGAACAGGTTAGCCTCAGAAGTTTGCTTTGTGGGGTTAGCTAGCCCTCATCTAATCCCCAACTAGCATATCTATCTCTTGGACACATGTTGTCACATAGCACTGTCACCATAAGAACTCAGCAAGCCCTGGGAATGGCAAATGACGCAACTCTCCTCACTTGGACTGTGCTAATTACATCACAGTGTTTACTTGCTGTTGATTTCAGAGAAGTTTGATGTAGCAATCTCCCTGCTCAAGCCATCAATGCATTTAAGAAAAGCCAACCCTCATGAAATCACTTCTTACTTGCAAAATTTTTAGCCCCATTGAAACATTTGAAAGAAAGAGACACACACCCACCTCTGTGTAGATGGAAACTGAATGAATAAAGTGTATAGTACTGATGGTAAATCACCTTTTTTTTAAAATTTGCTTTTTATGTAAGTTCTTATTTCTTAAGGACAACATTGATAAATCAGAGTGCCTTTAATCTGTTCGTTCATAGCTCCTTTGTGGTAGAGAGGCAGCCTTGCATGCCAACACATCCTCAGAGACCACTAGTCCTGAAGACGGGAGTACAGTTTACTGTAAAGCTGAGGTATGTTTTCCCCCTTCCCTGTTCCCTTTTTGTGGTAAGGCTTTCATGTCATTGGCTTCTTACAGCTGAGAGGATTGCACAGCTTGCACTGCAGCCCAAGTGCTAAGATCAGGAGGAGGAAAGTGCCATGTGCAGGTGGCTTTCTTCTAGCGAAGCTTAACTCACATTCAGCTTTTACTCTTTGCCAGAAGTGGAGTGTATAAGATTGAGTGTATAAGAAACACAGCTAAACAGCAGACACATGCAGACCACTTTGTCATGCCAAAGAGTAACTCGTTTGTTCATTTAGTTTCATCTCTAAATGCTGTCTTATATGGAACAAGCTTGAAGCCTGTATGTGGCCTTGAGTGTGCTGCTCAAATATCTGTGATAAGCAATGCCATAGAAAAAAAAACATCTTGTGCAATTGCTGACGTTAAAAAATATTTCTCTTTCCAGACTGCTGGTGAAATTGCCGGAATTGAACTACAACTTGAAAGTGAAAGTTTTATTTGATAAGTATGTTACATTTTTTCCATCCCTCTCTACACTAATGGTAAACAGTCCCCACGTTCAAAAACCAAAGGGCAGTCATATTATAAGTGCTGAGTAGGCCAGGAGCAGGCTGGTTCTCCATGGCAACAGGTATTATATCCTTCCCCTTTTCTTACCCATGCCCTTGCTCTAAGTCTCTCTGCCATTAGAGACATGTCACAAAGTACAGATGGCCTCAGCTTCTTGCCACCAGCTCCACTGGGATGCACCAAGGAGAGCTCACTACTGCTAAGTCAGGCTGGGCACAGGGCAGCACCCAGGCAACAGCCACCCCTCTGGCGTGGGTGTTTCACTTGGATTAGCACAAAATGAAAACACAGAATTGAACTCCACCATTTCCAGTCACATAATTCAGTCATGTCTCTAAAATATCTTCTTGGGTAGCATGTAGAAAGGAATGTAGTTATAAAGCTGTCCTTGAATTAGGGGTATAAGCAGTATCGTGTCCTGTAACATAGGACATGATCTCAGAGAGAAACAAAACCATACAGCAGTCTAAACAGACTAATACCTATCTTGTACTTTTATAAACAGTTCAGGTGAATTTAGCACTTATTTTAAGGGCAGGGAAAGAAATGTAACAGGCTCTCCAAAATAACAACAGGGACTTTTAAGAAAGCAAGTGGGTTTTTGTGTTCCCATTCAAGTAATTCTGTTCTTGAAATGGCTCTGGAGTCCAGAAACTTGCATGGAATAGGGAAAAGGTAAAAAAATTCCTGCGTGGATGTGGGAGGTGGAGCTTTGAGAAGCCCACTCAGTAAAATCCCAAGTGGTGGGAAAACTTATTCAAGTGATGCAGCAAGTTAGTCAAAAAGTTATGTGGTTTAAGAGTAGACTTAGAGTGACAGAACTATATTTTTTGTCCTCAAAGCAAGAGTTAAAATCTATATAGTAAGAGAAAGGACTTCCTTTGATTATAGAGCCCCCATAGCAACATTTAAGCCTTGGTAAAAAACATCCTGTGTGTAACACAAGATTTACTTTGACTGCTTGAACCAATTGCTTCCTCTTTTGCACAAAAACATCACAAAAGCATTTTAAGCAGTTCTCAATCAGTTCTGACAGCTACTAAAACAAACACATGCATTTTCTCTGTCTGTGGCAGAAGGTTTAAAACATTTTTGTCTTTTTTTTTTTTCTTTCTTGACAGAGATGTAACTGAGAAGAACTCAGTCAAAGGGTACGTGGCATCACAGTTTGATATATTAATGTTCGATTCTGTCAGTGAATGTGAGACTTAATTATTTTTTCCTCTCTCTTTGTGAAGGTTCAGGAAGTTTAATATTTTGGGAACAAACACAAAAGTAATGAACATGGAAGAATCCACTAATGGAAGTCTAGCAGCAGAATTCAGGCACTTGGTAGGAGATTTTTTTTTCTTTGTTGATACAGCCATTAAATTTTTTGGGTAGAGAGTGTAGTAGGAAGGAAACAAATTGCTTTTGTTATTGAAGTAATTATTTGCTTTTGTGTAAGAGGAACTGTGATTATCTCTTCTTTTTCTCTGTTCTTTCCTTTTTGAAATATTTGGCCTGTTGCAAGCAAAATGCAATTGATTGTCACTGAAACAGGGACAGAAGTGAAAACAAGAGTATTTGCTGCCATACAGCTTATGCTGCAATGAGTTCTTTGGAGGAGGAAGAAAAACACCTAGAAATGTTGGTTTGAGCCTTTTAAATGAAGGCCCATGGGTAGGAAAGTGTAAAGAACTTTGAGTCTGGAAGATGAAAATCGTCTAGGAGTGGGCAGCTAGAAGGAAGTCAGTGCCTTCAACAGACTATACAACACTTTTGATCTGCAGATTGTGAGAGAACAGATTGGTTTCATCATTAAAAGGAAAGGAAAAACGCAAGTGCAGAACCACTTAACATGGAAGTCTCCCTTCACTGTCCAGAACAGAGACTGTCTAGAGCTTGTCATCCAGTTCAGAGGGGTACTTTGATAAACCAGTATTTAATCTGATCCTAATTTCATACTGCTTCTGTTCTTAAAAGACCTCTTACATAAAGGCATTACATCATAACTGTGCAATATCTATTTTAAAAGATAAAAAGATATAAAAGAGTGGCAGTTACCTACAGTTTAATGCTTTGGCTTCCACAGCTTAGAACCAAATAGAATCAGACACTAGTGCAGGAAGTTTGCATACAGAAGAGTAACTACAGCATGCAAATGTTTCTATCCTGTACCACTTCCATTTGTGGCTGATGTGAGTGAGTGACAGGGTTCTTTGTTTGTTTGCAGCAACTGAAAGAACAGAAAAATGCAGGAACCAGAACAAATGAGGTAAGCAGCACTAACCTTCTTTTCGTAAAGTTTTTGCATAATTCTAAAAAGGCATTCAGGCATTTAAGACAATGCTCTCTGCTGAGCCCCATGAAGACACACACAGGATGACAGATCATAGGGGAGGAGTTCAGTGTTCCTAGAACCTGATCCCTGTAGGAGGTGTCTGCAAGTGAGAACTACTGCCAGAATGGCAATGGTGCACTCTCCCTCACTGGCATCTAGCTTTAACAGGACTTTCTGGCAAGCACAGATTTTTTTCTGTGACTTCTAAGTAGTAGTCAAAATAAAAAGTACCTAGAGAGGCAATTTTAGGAAGTCAGCATTGTTACTTGACTTTGCCCTGTGAGCTGTTATCGAGGTCTAGGGCAGGTAACCATGGGCAGAAAAGAGCTTTCTTCATGATAAAACCCTATTACCTTCACCCTAGGAATTTGCAGTGCCTGAAAAGTTTTCTTTTCATTTTTGTTTTTAAAGGGTCCTCTCATTGTAACAGAAGAGCTTCACTCTCTGAGTTTTGAGACGCAGCTGTGCCAGCCTGGCTTGGTAGTAGAGCTAGAGGTATGTCTTAGATGAAACAGATGGACCTAAATTCCTGTATGTCACTCATCCTGACAAATCTAAACTTTTTTTTTCAAGTACCGGCATATCAAGTACTTTCAGTTATTTCAGAGTATGTGAATGACACTTCATACCTCTGTATTGACACATACAGTGAGAATGCTGTCAGATCTCTGGGTAAATAAGAGTAGATGTGCTGTGCAAAGTGTTTGATAACCAACCCTGTAGTTTAAGCCCTCTAGGTATTTACTTCAGAAGCAATATGCTATGAATTCTGCTGCTACTATCATCAGTACTGTCATAACTGACACTAAATGAAAGTCTTTATTAGAAAAAAAAAAAATCACCCAAGTCTTTCTAGTATTTCATCATACTGACATTTTCTCCCCTACATACAAACTTCAATTGAAAAAGTTAAGACTATGCAAGCAGAGAATTAAAATGGAAACGGGTTTGTGGGTAATCTCAAGGAGGATTGCAGCAGCAGTACAAGGCAGCCTGACATGTTTCCTTTTGTGCCCCATTCAGACCACATCCCTTCCCATTGTTGTGATCTCAAACGTGAGCCAGCTTCCCAGTGGATGGGCTTCTATCCTGTGGTTCAACATGCTGTCTACTGATCCCAAGGTATTTGCAAGAAAAAAAATGGCATCACATTCTCTGTGTAATTTTCAAGCATTGTCTGTATGCAAGTAGCTGCTGCACCTTTTTTCCCTTGCAGATGACTTAATAACTTTCAGGTGTAGAGAGAGGCACAGTGACTTACTTCCCTGTCCTAAGCAGAACAACGTTTGAAACCCACTGAAGGGTAGTATACCTGTATTCAGTATATACAGAACACACTGAGGAGCCAAATAAACATTCAAGAACTAAAATATGGTGCACTTGAGTAATCCGGGAATTCTGGGAAAAGACATGTCCAAAGCAGAGCCCCAGAGACAGCTTTTCCTGGTAAAGAGTGCCTGTCAGAATAGGAGCCTGCTTTTGCAGAGTTGTCTCAAGCTGACATCCATTCTTAAATCTATTTTTTTTTTGACAATACACTTTTAAAAACTCAGGTGGCATTCCAAAATTAATGTTTATTAACTATAGGTTGTATTTTTCTTTTCCATTCTAGAACTTGTCCTTCTTTCTGAGTCCACCCTGTGCAAAGTGGTCTAAACTTTCTGAAGTTCTGAGCTGGCAGTTTTCTTCTGTCACAAAGAGAGGACTTAATGCAGATCAGCTGAGCATGCTGGGAGAGAAGCTACTTGGTATGGTCTACTTTCATCACAGATGGTCTGTTTGAATTAAAGCTAATTCTACATCTTTTCTGCAATCCATTTTAAGTTTTCATTCTGTTCCCATGCCTTTACCACTTATACAACATCACTCTGTAGCAATGAAGCATTTTCCACTTTTCAGTATGGTAGAGCTTGTAAATGAGATCAGGTCATGAAAAAAAAATCTGCAGTTCTAACTTAGGAGTCTTATGCATTAGAGCAAGGCAGATTGGGGCTACTTCTGCCTTTTTAAGTAACACCCATGTTTAGTCAGTCTTTGAAGTGGCTGTTTCCTGGCATCTTTTTGGCTTTGATTTTAAATCCACCTCCATTCATTTTAACTTCATGCATGCCCCCAACTACAGTGGGGGTTTACTCTGCCTGCATAAACATAGTTGCAGTATTAAAGTGCAAACACTATGAAACCACTAAAGGATATCAAGTTGAACATCTCCTAGATGACTGTGCTTAGTGAAAGCCTCAGCAGCCATGAGTTTTCTATCCAAACTCCTTGCAGTTTGCCTTGATAGCTGGGGCACTTGCATAGCAGACTCTAGATAAAAATACTGTTGTTCAGTATATTCCACCAACCTAAACTTTCAGAAAGCATTTATATTTAAAGGTATTTGACATTAGTGTGTCTAGGTGGCAAGTAGAGCATTCCAGTCTCTAACTCACTTCCTCTAATTTCCCTAAGACATAAGATCCGACAAAAAACAACTGATTTAATAGATTACCTTTCAGAAATCTGCCAAGAGAATATTTTTATTTTTAATTAACCAACACACAGACAAAGAGACCAATGACATATTTCTATGGTCAACGTGCATTTCAGAACTGCAGAGACTTTGTCAAGCTCTGGTAACAGTAGGAATGCTACATTTATCTCTACAGATAAAAATATCACACTGCTAAAAAAAAATTCCTGGTCATCGAACACTGTATATTCAGGATTCCTTAGTGCAAGGAGACACAGAACCAACAGGGTGCCAGGATACAACTTGCCTACTGTTTTTTCAATGTGAAAGTTGACAGAATCTTGATCTTTTTAACACCAGCAGCATCAGAAATGAGCCCTCTAACCCAGTTTATTTTTAGAAACATGAGAGGGAAAAGCATATTTATGATCTCTAATGGAAAGAATTTGGCTCTGACTACAGTCGGGGTCTGCAAAGCTGCAGCTACTGTAATCACAGCATAGGATTTTTCTTTGTGGTTTGGATGTGATTATGAAACACTGTTGACATAAAAACAAGACCAGGGGAAACGATTGCAACAGGAGCAAGATGTGTTTGTGGCTGGGGTAGATCTAGAGTCAAGAGTTTCTGGGGCAAAAGCCTACAAGTCACCAGAATAGAGACAGGAAAGTGCTTAATCTCAAAGATATTCTAAGGTCTGCTGAGCCCCTATGGAAGAGCTTATGGGCTGCAGTCTTCTTATTTTGCTGGAAAGAATTGTGCAAGCATTCAGTCTCCTTCCTGGAAGCATTTTGAAACTGGCACGTGTTAGGTGTAGCACAGCATAGAAAGTGTCAGTATGAATTGGTTCCCATTATGCAAGGTCTGCTGAAATAATTTGGTTATCTTAAAACCTCATCAGAGGGGAATTTTTCATGGCTACTGCAGGGGGAATTTGCAAGCACAGTAGCCTGCCCTTCCTTTTCTTTCTTAGTCCAACAGCTGAGTTGTACATAAACACTCAGAACTTGGTTCTTTAAGTACTTTTAGCCTTACTAAGTAAATTATGGAACATGACTGAAATGAGTTTATTGTGTTCAGGGCAAACAAGTGGAGGATCTCACGATGGCCTTATTCCTTGGACAAGATTCTGCAAGGTATGAACGAAGTTTAAAAATTGAAAAAGAAGAAGCTCATTTTAGTTTGCTGTGGGTTTTGTTTGGGCATTTTTTGTTTGTTTTTCCCCTAGGATACCTTCTTTTTTACTAACATAGGCTAATTATTCTAAAGCTTACATGGTCATGGGAGGTTTTGGTGGTGGGGTAAAGTAGCAGCACAAGGAGGAAAAAGGGCTTGCAACAGCAAGGAGAAGATGATTTTGAGGTTCCTTTAGATCTATGTAAACTCTATAGAAAAAAATGCATCTTTCAAACTCACCATCTTCATTATTATTAATACAATGGCTATTAACACAATAGTTCTCTATTTTGATTATTACAGAAAACGAAAACAAAACAACCAGCAAGATGGACAACTCTTCTGTATCATAGTGAAGGACATTTCCTAGACCAGGGGCAACTGGATTAGGGTGAGGATTAGAACAGGGTGGCCAAGAGGATCAGTAGATGACAGAAAACCACATCATGATATTTCATGCAATATTGGCTGCAGCAAAACAGGAGGACTCTTCATGTTTTCTTTCTTTAGACCCTTAACTGGTATAGATAAGCCAGAGATTACAGCAGGCAGGAGCAGATGCCAGGGGAAGAGCAAAGTTCTGGTGACCTACAAACACTTGAGTTCATTAATATGGATGTCTCATGAGAAATTGAGATCCAGGTCTGAACTGAAAGTGTCTCTAAGCTCAGCTGCTACCCAGCCTGGGCAAAAGTCCCATGGGATGGTTTGTATGTCCAAGAACCCCAATAAGAACAGTGCCCAGGCAGGAACAAAAGTCTTATCTGCTCTTAGACCAGCACTGTTGCACACGAGAGGTGATGGATCGTATGTTTGTGGGTACTGTAGGCTCAGACAGGCATTTCTCTTGCCTTAAGGTTCATTAGCAATGGTCCTTGTCCTTCTGGAGTGGAGAGACAGAAAAAGTCATAAGAGAATATGGGCAGGGGGGTGGAAGAGAGGGAGAAAAATGCAAGAACAAGTTGATACTGGCAGGATTGAAACCTTGCTTTCCCCTCTGCTGCTTAACAAAACTCATGTCTTATTACCCCTGTTCTCTCCCGTCCCACTCCCGCCTTTCCATATTCTGAATTTCAGGAAAATATAAATGATAAAAATTTCCCCTTTTGGCTGTGGATTGAGGGAATCCTGGAGCTTATTAAGAAACATCTCCTGTGTCTCTGGAATGATGGGTAAGACCTGAGTGAAGTTTAAAATGGGGTCATTGCCTCAGACTTCTCATTTAGGCTAGCAGTTGCATCCTCAGGTTGTGAGGTTGCTTGTGCAAGTGAATTCTAGTAATGAGGAAGCCTCTGATGAGGCAACTGCTAAAAGCAAGAAGATCAGATGACTGAGCTGTCCCATTTAAGTCACAGAGCAGGGCTTTGAATGTAAGATTATGTTTTGTTTTGCCTCTACTCCCACTGTAAGTTGGTTCTCTCCACACCCTAGAACAGAGCCAAGGAAAATTGAAGGAAGGATAAGTCATAAAGCGATCATCCATCTTTAAAACCAAAAAACCAAATCCCCTACCCAAACAAACACTATTGTGAGCCGCCTGGAGGTGGCAGCAGCCAGACTCTGAACGCCTGTACCCGCACTGTGCACCCACAACACAGCAGTCTTCACTGATTCTAAGGTTATTACTAAGTAGAAGGACTCTGCCAGAAGGAAGAATAGCCCTTTAATACTGGTTTAGTAAACTTTTGATTCTGGGATTTCCAATTTCTGCCAAAACTAGGTTTATCCAAAGTCAAATCCTGCATTTTAGCTTTAGCCACATTATGAAACACTATCAAGTAGCACACTCACAGTGGGGCCTCCTGGTATCCCACAAGTCTGCAGGATCCATAACAGCAGGTTTGCTTTGTCTTGCTACATTCAGCAGCAGGCTTCACATTATTACCCCCCAACTCCAGACGAGTTCTGTCAAAGCCCTCTGTGGTAGGCTTGTTTCACTGCCCAAACCCTGCCTATTTCTTTGCTAAGTAGACTGCAGTGCAGTGGGAACATTTCCCACCACTGTTGAGGCAGAATTGCAGTTCCTGTTTGGTGTTCCACCTCAGTGTGGTGATGTGCCTACAGGATTGGTTTTGCATGTGGCTTTGATAGAGGCTTGAATAACATTGCTCTTTGCTATCAGTTGTGAGAGCAAACCCCCACTTAGGATTTAACAGAAAGAGGTGCAAGTTAAATCCTGAAGGTAATCAAACTCAGAGGTTTAGTACTATTAGCTTTTCCTCTCTCAGCAGGCTTTGATGGATAGTCACAAATCGTTTTTTCCTAGAAAGGCAAAAAGAGAAACCAAAGGAAAAACTATCTAACTACAAAGATATTTCAGTGGGAAAGAGACAAATCCACAGTATTCATTAGGACAGAGACTCCTTTGCTTACAAGAGTAAGCATTACAGCCTCAAGAACACTTGCCTTTCTTTTGAGAGATAAGGCAACAAAAGACTTTCATTATACACAAGATATTGACCACGGAACACATTTAAAAGCAAACAAAACACAAAGCTTACCAAACAAACGGCCGAAGCCCTATAAAACAGGACAGTTTACAGCATCTGAAAGTCTAAGCAAAATCACGATCATTTAGTATTTTTTGTGCAAAACCCACTTTCCCCCCTGACTTATTGCACACAAAGACAGTAGCAGTACTCAAAAGTTCATTATTGATGCAGTATTTTGAGGAATAAGAAACAGTGCAGTGAAATTCTGACTTTTGGGGGGGGGGGAACAAAACAAAAAGCCAAACGATAACCAACAAATCAACCAAAACCAAACAGCTGGAGGTTGGCCAGGATTATGCCTTAGTACTTTCCCCCCCAGTACCTGTTCAGATTAACCAGTCTCTTATAATTACCACATCAGCCTCCTTGCCTATGCAGTAACATTTGCTGAACATAGTGAGTTTGGGGGGTTGAAGTCACACAGGCTTAAACAGTTCCTCCAGAAAACATGCACAAGGAACAAAGCAAACCCCACACCTGTAAGAATGCAATCTAGTAGGCTAGCAACCTTTGTTTCATCAGCCAAATAGGAGAAATAATTGTTCCTTAACATACTTCTGAAGTTAAAACTAGCTGCTAGCTGGGATCTGACCATATTATGCACATATAACTCCACTTCTGCTCCCAGAGGCAGCTTTGACAGCAAAAAGGACAATCTCTTTTACTCTAAGTTCAAAACCAATGTTTGTACAAGCCACCAGGCCAAAGTGAGAGTGCTGAGGGAAGCTGTGGTGATTCATGACTTCCATGGGGCGTGAATCACCACCTGACTCCAGCCTGGCAGTCCTACTGCTAAGCTTTCCAGCTGTTCTCAGGACAAAGCCTTTTGCGAGGCTTTTACAAGTACTTCAACTCTTAAGTGACAAAAGCTGTTAAGTTTTTTCCTCGCTAGCCCAGCACAGCTTAGGTTTTATGTTGAGGAGTAACTCAGCTCTTTCTTTTCAACATTACAGCTGCATTGTGGGTTTCATCAGCAAAGAGAGAGAACGTGCTTTATTGAAGGACCAGAATCCAGGAACATTTTTACTAAGATTCAGTGAAAGTAGCAGAGAGGGAGCAATCACGTTTACTTGGGTAGAGGGATCTCAAAATGGTAAGTCAGTTACTCTTTGCTCATCTACTTACATCAGAACAAGAAGTCTTTATGCTCTTCTCCTCCACACTGAGGACCAGTACAACACACCACCGCAGCAGCCCCCCCCCCCTTACAAGCAGGGGGCCACAAGCAACAGCAGGCATGTGCCATACTTGGTGTAGCTCAAGCCACACAGTGGATTATTCAAGGTTTCAACTAGGACTAGTAACACTTCCAGGGTACTGCTTCTGGCCTGGAGATTTGACAAGAAAAACTGCCCAGACTGTATACCCTGCCTCCTTAGGGTCTCTCCCAGCAAAACACATGCACCTCCATCTTCTTCCAAACCCACATCACCATCTTAATCAGAGAGTTCTTGCCTAAGAAAAGGTCACTACAGCCACATTCATCATTACTGTTCTCTCCCCGTACATCTTGTGTGCAACACTCCTTTCTCAAACTGCTTTCTCAAACTCATGGCCCATGGAACATTTGTCCTTCCTCCCCAGGTAAACCACACGTTCACTTACTTCATTTTCCAAGCAGTTCTCCTTCCTCCCATTGTCCAGAAGGGCCAGTGAAGATCTCACTTCTTCAGTTAGCTGAACTATTCTCTCCTCCTCTCTCAAGGAAGCCTAGAGACATCACAGCTGCAAAAAGATATAACCTCCCTCATATCCAATCAGGGTTCTCCCCTTATCACACTAATAATGAGCTCCACCTGCCACCATGGTGCAGCTGTGGACACTTCACTTGGATGAGCCCCAAACCTACTACAGCTGGAAAAGAAACTGCTGAATGTACTTGCACAACTTCTTTCCTTTTGCAGCCTTCATACCTGAGACATCCAAAAATGAAGCAAAGAAGGGTGATAGTTTTTGGAGCACTAAGGGAGGCTTTATCTGTCTCTCCTTATGATTCATAAGAGCTTCATGTGGTGTATTTGGATCAACCTTCCTAACAGGCAACAGTGTTTGAATGATATAATTTGGAAGAAGGTTGAAAAGGTAGCACAACTTAAATTAGTTAATGAAATATCAGTTAACGAAATATTGCAGTTAATTTCCATGGGCAAGTCACATCAGTCATTCTGAATAAAAAGCACATCAAGAGCCATCACTGTGTGCTATTCCCCCATATGCCTCCCTACCCCCCAGAACAATTACGTTCCCTTTGACAGGTATTGAATATTTACCTGCAGCACAGTAGGTGTCATCCAGGTAGGCCTTTTGCCTTTTGATCTCTGAATTTGTAGAAGTGGCTGCAGCTTTTCTGAGCAGTTTTAGAAAAAACCTTGAAACCCCCTTTAAGAGTTGCTGCTTCTCTCCTCTGCAGAGCTCCAGTTCCATTCGGTAGAACCCTACACCAAGAAGGAGCTCTCTGCTGTGACTTTCCCCGACATCATCCGCAACTACAAAGTGATGGCAGCTGAAAACATTCCTGAAAATCCACTGAGATTTCTGTACCCAGATATACCCAAAGACAATGCCTTTGGCAAATACTACTCCAGGCCTAAGGAGGGTGAGTGCTATAAGTGGCTGATTCCATGTATATTGTTCCTGAGGTACTTGGGCACTGTGCAATTCCTGTGGCATGGAAAGAAAGGAAGCAGTTGGCCTGAATTTCTTGGCAGTCTGTCCCATGGTGAGCTAAAAGGTCAGAAGAGGCACCTGAGCTTTATAGGTTAAGAAAAGGTCTGTTTTTAAAGAGGCACAACATGAGATCTAATCAGATCAAAACCTGAAAACATAATTGTCACTGGCCCTCCAATTCGGCTTTCATGCAAGCCCATGAGCTGTTTCAGAAATGTAAGTGCCCACTAGCAGCTGGAACATGACTGGCTATGGAAGGGGGTTTTTTCCCCATTTTCAATAGGGGAAAAGGAAAATCTGACTAAAAAATGGAATATATTAACCGTAGTGCTGTAAAATGCATGATGGCGAGACTTGCACATTATCTGGGTCACAGGCTTTATTTTTGGTACAATGAAGATGGCAATGTGAAGTAAACTTGCAAAAAAAAACACAAACCCACATGCTTGTTTTGTTTTTTTTCCTTGAAGCACCAGAGCCAATGGATTTGGATGGTCCCAAGGGAAACGGCTACATCAAGACTGAGTTAATCTCTGTGTCTGAAGTGTAAGTGTCCACAAAAATGCTGTATTTTTAAGAACTGATCATAAGTATTTAGCTGTAGTTCATGTCTCTTCACAGTATTTAAGGTGTAGGTGCCCCTGCCAAATATTTCCTCTCTGAGGATCATTCATGCAGTGCTGTGTTTAAAACACCATTTTTAGATAAAAACCCTAGAAACTTGCAGGTAGTTGTACTGACAAATGATTTCTTAAAGACTTGTTGGACTTCCTTGATTAGGATGTGCATCCCTGAGTAGTCCCAGTTCTCACTTAAAGCCATCTGGCTGGCTTTGCAAAGCCTGGTGTATTGCTCATAGGCCAGGTCTTCTTCACAAGAGGCCTCTTTAGTGGCCTTCTGGCCTCAGAGCCAGACATGGTAGCCCAGCTATGCCTCATTTCTTTACTGAAGGTTTATCCCTGCTCTTCTCCATTAGCCACCCTTCCAGGCTCCAGTCTCCAGAAAACCTGCTCCCCATGTCTCCTGAGGAGTTTGATGAGGTGTCTCGGATGGTGGGCCCGGCAGAGATTGACACTGTGGTATGTATCATGAACCAGCCGTTTGCAGGGTGCTTGAGCCAGAACTTGCTTTTTGCCTTTTTTTCCCCTCCAGATGTACCTCAGACACTTAACACAAGTGAACACTTCAGAACATATCTCTTCACACATGTAGGGAAAGCTGGGGATCCAGAGTTGAACTGGGATTGCCATCAGTTGTTCTTTCCACCTGTCTGTGGGGATAGAGGTGAAGAACAGGAGAGCAAAGCTTCCTGTGTGTACCCTGTAGGTGGAGGGAAGACGAGAAGGGAGGAAGGAGCATCGCTGTAGTCCTTCCTGTGGGGTCTGGGTGGGGAGGGCCTCTAGAGTAGGAGTGCAGTTTGGATGTGTTGCTCTGGCAGTGCTGCCAAGATTCTTCCTGTTAACAGAGCAGTGTTGTCCTTGCAGGATGTGCTTCAGAAAAAATATCAAAATTAAAGTATGGGATTTCCCCCCTCCCCGGGTAGTTGGATCTTAAGGTGTGAGTCTGGTTTTATTTAGGGAGAACATGGTCATGCTCTGGTTAGCAAATACTTGAGTATTAGGGCTTACTTGGCTTGTTTAATGGACATTTCCTTTTCTTGTTGCAGATGTGTACACATATGCAGCTCTGAGCTTTGGTTGAGCTTTTTACTGCGTCGTTAACGTGGCTGATTCGCTTTCGCGTCCTGCACTGCCGTCCATGCCTTGGTGACACGCTTCCCTGCCGTTCTTTGGTTTCTCAACCTGAAGGTCCAGTAGCAATTTTTAGCTAATGGAAATATCAACAATAGCAGTCTCCTCATGTGCACTTCTTTGTTTAGTTAGCAAGAGTGGAGGAAGAGAAGAGGATAGGAATGTGAGGTCCTCAGCGAGAATGATAGGAGAAACACGCATTCATGTTTAAGGGAATTAGTTAAATGTAATGTTTAAAACAGTTGGCTGTACATAGAAGGCTTCAAAGGAAAGCTGGTTCTTCTGCAGAGGTTCTGCTCAGAAAGCTTGTGCCCTCTGTGTAACTACTTCTGCAGAACTTCCAGAGCTTTGCATTTTCATCTGCATCACAGAAAGGAAAAGGGAAACACTCTACACCAAATCCACGTGCTGCTGAAGTTTGCTGTGGTTTTAGCTTTTCTAGGCATGGCATGTTGAAAGGACAGAAAATGTTACCTGCATTTCATTTTTGCGGTTTCTGTAAGGCATAACCTTGCGTAGGATGTTTAGCACAATCTTTCACATAAAGAGCATTTCTTAGGACACCACCTTAAAGCTGCATTGGCACATGCTGAGCTTGCAAACCCAGGTGTACAATCAGGACTAAAGCTTCTGCAGACTGCAGTCATGCTGTCTTGCAGAGTATCAAGACAAAATGAAAACCTACTCTTAAAAAGGGTGCAGAAGGGCTTGAAGTATGTTTTTACTCACTGTGCTTAGCCTACCAAGGTGAGGATTTGGTCACTTCTATCTTTCACAATAATACATGCCCCATTTAGGTTAATAACAGGTGGAATGGAACTCAGTTTTCTCATGCATTATGAACCAGGGCATTTATTTAACTGTTGATTTGAATAGCTAGAAGATCCTACAGGCTTTGATAATGAAGTGGTTAGCGATTAGGGATGAGGCACAGGAAAGTGAGGGAGTTAAATTTATACAGAACAACAGCTGCAGGACATGCAGTTTGTGGTACTTAAAGGATGAAACTGTTTTTCCACCAGAGGAGGAACACATTTGTTTCTCAGCATGTTTGAAGATAATTAACAACTCACAGTTCAGAGGCAAGGCTGTCTCAGGCAGCTGGTCTCTGCACCAGGGGTATCTATTAGTGCAGACTGCTAATTAGCACACAGAGGAACAGAGGGACTGCAGAGCACTTGTGCTGGATCCCACCGGTTCAGGTGGAACAGCAACAGGAACAGGGCAGCTGGCTGTAGCAGGGGGTTGGACAAGGTGACCTCCAACTTCAGCCCCAGCCCAGCGGTGACTCAGGTGCTACTGCAGCCTCTCCCCCCACTGCTGTCTAGTCTATTCCCACCACCTGGGAGAGCAGCAGCAGCCCATGGGACTCACAGAGGTTACAGAGCTGCTTCTCTAGATCCAGCAGCTGCTGTTTGGGAGATAAAAGACTGGAGCAGTTTAGTGTGTTACGCCCAAGACGACTGATGTGCCCCCTGCAAAAGCTCGGGAGAAAAATTAAAGGACCTATATGTATTTAAAGGAAAGCATTGCCAAACTGACTTATTTTTGGTGCTCTGAGTTACTAAGGTTAACAATGCTACAGGATATCACAACTGGTAACTTACTGCTTTTATCTTATTGTAACTAGCTGAATGTGTATCTTTATTGTTAATAAAAAAAGCATTTGTTTCTTGATCTACACCTTGTACTCATGTTCCATATGCAGCAGTTTGTCTTTATTAGTTTTATATTTGTTTTATCAACCAGAGTGGAATGTTCTTCTGAGATTTAAAGCAGTAGCCTTTTTCATGGCTTAGTTTTTCCAGTAGTTCTTAAAGTAGTGATTTTTCCACAATGGAATATTCTTTTGCCATTTTAAATAGATGGAACTGTCAGTTGACATTTTTGTCCTATCTCTTGTTTGTTGACTACTTTTACTACAAAGATGATATGTTTTCCAGTAGTTTACTACTCTGTATCTCATTTTAAACTTGCTTGTATAACTAAAGTGTTAAAGCTCTGAAGCCTAAGGAGGTATGGATGCTATTAATTCTCTATATTGTAGCAGGTCAGTCTGCTCTGGAGTACTTAGAAGGTGCCTGTTAACTTTTTTTTATTATTGATTGTATCACTTCACTGATTTGTTTTCTTCCCCACCCTAAGTTCAATAAACTGAACTTGAATTTCTAATTTGAGTCATCAGTAGGATAACTGATGTATAGCTAACCTTTGTGAGCTACCAAGCTGGACCACTGCTGCATCATTTTTCTCTGAGGCTATTAAGTGATGTGATCCCTTGTCTCATGCTTGTTGGGCTTTTATATGAACAGCCAGAAGAATAATAAAGGAAAGAAACTGTTGCTGTGATAAAGGATAGCAGGAGTGAAGAGTAGGCAAGAGAAAGCCAGAGCTGTTGAAAGTACCTGGACAATCCACTTAAAAATTCCAGCATTAACAAAAAGCAATCAGTAAAAGAACGCAGCTCTGGAAGTGTAGGTTTCAAAAAAACAATCAGAAAAAAGCTAGATTATATAAATTAATTCTGATTTCCTGTAAGCTTTGCACAATGCAAATGACCAGAGTAGGTTTTCCTGGACAGCCTTCTCCGTGACTGAAGACTTATTTCAATGGCAGTCACATAGATAACCAATAAAACCAACCACCACCATCATCATCTTGGTATTTCCATTTATTATGCTGTAAAAAGCAACACTATCTGGAATTTATTTCTCAAAATAAATAACTTTCATTTTCAGAACCAGTACAGCTCAAGTTTAGATTCATTCATGGGAAACTGCTAGAAATACATTCATCACTGTCTAGTCCCCACAATACAGAATCTAAAGTCAAGATCAGCCCAGTCAATTACAATGACCAGAAGTACACTGCCAGTAAGTATAGTCACGGATAGTCCAGCTCTGAAGCAAAAAAATCTGGTACAATACAGTTTGTTCACAAAGATAGGCTAATTAATGCTAAGACTACCACAAGATTTCTGAGTACAAAGCATTAAGTTAGCTTAACGATTTTTAGGCTGTGATACAGAAGAAACATATATGACATAAAAACAAAGGAGTGGGGGAATCCTCTTTGGAGCATAAGGAAGTCAGCGCTGGATAAGATAACCAAAAGCTATTTACTGTAAAATCTACATGTCAGTGTCATGAATGATAAACAGCCAAACCAATGTACTGCATATATTTATATTCATAAATAACGCCATGTCTAAGTAGCTGCATTGCTGAATTGGACATTACAAAATAATCCATCTTCTCACAATGAGAAAATACTAAAACTAACCAGCAAAAATGCACTGAAGCTAAGACCGGCTAAAAGCACGCGGTATGAAAGTGTTAACTTTAGGGACAGCTGTGATCTTCAATGTCAACCCAGTTAAAATCTTTTTGGTTTTGGTTTGTTTATATATGTGTACTATATAATATACTTATCTTTTTAAAATGCCAGTTTGAACAATGCAATGTCAGGTAAATAAAGCTAAATCAGGTATTTTTCTGAGAAGCTATAGGATGTGTTTTAATAGGGAAAAAATATGGAAGAGGTCAGATTACCACAGAAATTCAGAATACTAAAGTAGAATCCATCTGAAAGTATTCATTTACACTACAGCCAACAGATCTGTTGCCAGAGAAAACATGTTGGAATTTAGTTCAGGGTGCAGCAGAGAAGAGGCCTTTGCTACTCAGTGACCGATGTGGCTCAACAAAGAACCAAGAGGCTGTTTTGTTTAGGTCTTGGTTAGAACTGAGGTGGCGGTGACACAGGACGTGAAAAGAAGGGGCTAAAAGCCTTCAGAAAAATAGCTGATCTTCAGAAGAACAAAAACAAAAACAAAACCACCAAACCAAAAAACCCAACCATCTTAAGAACAGTAAAATTCTTGAGAAAAAGTGTTTGATAACCATGCCAGCCAGCTTCAAAATGCTATTTCAGGGCTTCAGACTTTCAGACTCTTCCAAGATTTCATCATCATGAAGACAGTCACTGTTTGTGATGAGTACCAAGCACTTTTCCATGTGATTTGTCCTCCCTGCAGGAAGGCAGTATGGCATATCAACAAGAGACTGTACAGGAACTAGAAAGGTTTTGTTCTCAACTATACTGACCTGCTGGGTTGCTCTGGAGAAGTTATTTCTCTCTAAGCCTTAGTGTACCCATTGCTAAAGGAGGATAATGTGGTTCAGATCATCTTTATAAAGTGCTTGGGCCATTCTAGAAAGAATTTGGGCATTATTTCAGGAGGATCTTGGTGCCAAAACACAGAAAGTTTGAACTTTGAGATCTAATGACTTGAACACTACGTGTTAGGATAAAAACCATCATATACACAATTCTCAAGCACAATCTCCTTTTCCATGTGCTAAGCGATTCTTGCCTAAAATTCTTGTGCTAAAATTCTTGCCTATGTCCAACAACTGATGTGTTTTGTGAGTATCTTAAGTGACAGCTCACTTCTGAGGTTTTGTGCCACAGTACTGGCAGAAGCAATTGCACACGGGACAGGGAGCTGTGGTAACATTGTACTCCTGCAAACAACAAATATCTACATCTACATTTCCCACGACAAGGCAAGTGCCGTGCTGGCTCCAGTGGCAAGACATTAAATGCCACCACAAAAGGCATTTACCTACTTGTGCTCCTGGTGCTGAACTCCTGTTCTACACCAGCGGAATCTCACTGATGCAATATCCTGCTCCCTGGTTGATGGCAGTGCAGGAAGAGAACATACTCAAAAACCTGGCTTATCTCCTGCTCTGCTCATGCTTTGATTGGCTCTATGCTCCTTAAAGCTGTTTCACTCCGTCCGTGTTCCTTATTACAAGCCTAAATTAGTTCAGAGTTACATGTAGTATTTGGTTTAGTTCTTTGTCTTTCCTGTACTTCCATTCCCCTCGCTGGCTCCTGGTGCACCCACCCAGGACACCACCTGCCAGCCCCAGAGGGGGTTTGAGGCTTGCCAAGGCTTGCTGTAGTGCAAATAGACCTGCAAGGAACACCTGCACGGAGTGGAAGCACCCGCTTTCCCCAGTCACAGGGAAGTACTTTAGCAGCTGAACATGGAGAGAGAGGAGGGAGGCAAGACAAAGGGAACTGAAAGAAACGCTTCCAAACAAAAACCCCACTACACACCAGTGTTACAAGTCACATTCCCCTACGCCATTTGGTCAAACAAACCTTTAAACACATTCCCTGACAAGACTACCTCTAAGAACAAGCCTAGACCATTGACAATTGTCACCTATATACTCTGTGATATTTATATTATGTAAACAAGGTTGTGTGGAAACAGGTTTTTTCTATTTTTTCCAAAAGATAAGTGCAGGTCCTTACTTAACACACCCAGCCTAAATCTACATCAGCATCTTCAGCTTTCAAAAAACCTCACTGACGCTCATACCTGACAGTACTCTGGCTCACCTTGGCCATACTGGAAACAGAGGGCTAGAGAAAAAAAAAATTCAGCAAAAAAATTCCTGACCACAGACTAGAGTTTACATAGAACACAAAAATAAATTAAGTAGTGCACAGTAAAGCCAACAACAGCTAAATATTTTTATACATCAATTATATGCAGCATGAGGTAATATTGCTCACATTATGGAGGGAGATTCTTAGTTGGTTTTGTTTCTTTTGAAGAGATTGGATTTGTCCTGTGCGTATAGAAACTCCTGTAACGTAACACTGAAGTAACAGAGACTTCTGTAAAATATATACCACTATCAGATAGAAACACACACGCTCTTCATTACTTATGTATACCACAATTAAATAGGTAAGTGATTTGATTCTTAGGATCTAGCTGAAGATGATTATAGTAAGCCATCCAGATTTTTATGAACCGTTCGGTTCTCCTTCCCGTTGTTGGAATCCTCTGATGGCGTGTATTGGACCTGATATTCTTGGAGAATTTTAAAAACATCATGGTGTCCGAAATGTAAAGCTTCATCCATAGGAGTGTTATTCCACCTACAAGAAGCAACACGGTATTTTTAAGACCAGCATGTGAAGCACAGAGCCAAAAGCACCAAAAATCTAGTTCTTTACATACTGTGCTGGTAATTCAGCACACAGACCACACTCAGTTCAGTAACTGTGGAATTACTTCATTAAGCTGAGCATAATTTTTTATTCCTGTTTGCTCTGCAGAGCCTACAAAAAAGGACCCGGTTCCTTTTGCTTCAGTGGACTGGATCAATACATTTCACTCTTATTTGATAGACACCTCACTCAGGGAGTATGGAGATGGTACTGGAGCATCTTTCCCCCAAACCAGCAATAAAAACCACTCACCTGTCTTTGGGGAAAGGATTCACTTTGCATGCTTCCAGTAGAAACTTAACAACATCTACATGTCCTATAAGAAAAGCAGGTTTGTGAGTATATGTACTTATATACACCCACGTATATACAGACAAAAGCAGGTATGCACAGAGAGAGCAAAGATACTCTAAAGCAAGCTGACCACCTCCCACTGACAGAGAGAGCAAACGACATGTGAGGAGACATTACCTTCTGCAGCTGCCACATGCAGGGCTGTCCGTGAGTCATAGTCTCTTTGCTCCATATCCATTCCTGACAGAGCAAATCTTAAAAAAAGATTACAGAGAAAAGTCTTACATAATTGAACCAAGTTACAAAACTAGCATGGAACAGCATCCCTCTGCTGAGGGTACCTTTTTGATGGTTAGGTTTGGGTCTTTCGGTTGAGTTTTGGGTGAACATATTAAATCTCTATCTCATGCAGCTCAATGTCCCCAACACAGAAGCAGTGCATGTGTATGTTCATAAATAAACAACAGCAGGAACCAAACAAGCAGCATTCCTATTCCCAGACCCCCGCTGATTTTTACCTCCGGAGTGCAGACACATCCCCTGTGTAGGCAGCAAACAGCAGATTTATCACAGACTTCACCTATAAAGAGAGATGAAGTCCAGTTTATTGATCTTCTTTCCTCAAAAAGGAAACCCAGAAAAGCCCAGCGTGGCCAGCTGGTTCAGTGCTTATGAAACTTGCTAATTGTATCCCCTTGCTTGGCCACATTTTGCAGTACAGCATAAAACACTGGAAGAATTCACTCCAGCTTGCTTCGCTACCAGTACTGTAAGGTCTGTCTTTCCAAGGCTGAAGTCATTTAAGACAGTAAAAGAACTATAAAACATGCATTTCTGCT